AATACTAGAAAAATTGTTTTGTTTGAAATTTTGGGAATTATTGCTTAGGGCAAAAATCACGTGCTCACACATAAAACCCCACCTTATCTTCTAGACTCTTCTTTTGTTATAACAGAAAATATTCTTCAAACCAAAAACCCCAAACTAACCCCCTAATACCCCTGTATTTGCTTTCCAACAATTCCAAATATTGGGCCAACTGACCAAGGGTTTAGGCCCCAATGAATGGGCCTTCTACTGTCCAAACCAACAACACGTAGAAGCCCAAACACATACAACCCAAGATTGACTGAAAAACAATTGTAAAATCATGAATGTTGAAAGTTTAAACATGATTGAACCAATTAATACTGCTGAGCTATAAGCTAACTTGTTGACTAACAAAAGCAAGAACTTGAACGGTATTGCAGAATATAAAAAAAATGAAACAGTAATCTAACATACAATCTTAATTAAAATAACCATCTCTTTTCTTTAACTTTCCTTAGAACAATTAAAACAAAAAAACAAGACAAAGAGGGACAAGTGAATACCTCAAAAAAGAGAAAGACGGGTTGAAGCCGGATTCCTCGCGAATTCGGAATAAACAAAAACCAACGTTAATTGATTGTTCTTGTCGAGAACAATCCATTAACGTAGGTTCTAGGTCACAGCGAGCAGCTAGGCAACGCAAGCGGCTAGAGAAGGGGAAAGGTTATGGTTTCCAGATTTTTAGATCCGGATTTGAAGAATATAGGCGAGGCTTTTGGGAGAATTAATGATGGATTTAGAAAGAGGAGAGGACGGGGGTTGCATGGTATTAATTTGGGCGAGTTTGGAGCGTCGCTGCCGCTGTGAGGCGATTTCCGATGGGGCGGCGGCTGGTGGTGAAGGGCTGGAGAATTGGGGCGGCTAGGGTTTGGGAGAGGGTGTAAGGGAGATCAGAGAATGAAAGCTTGGTCTTAGGTTTGGGGGGGGGGGTCGGACAATAGTAAGGGAAATGGGGGGTTAGTTCCCAGCCGTTGGATCATTGAAGATTAACGGCTGGGATTTAGATGGGTAAAACGGCGTCGTTTGGTGACTGGGGGGCACTGGACCGGGCAAGGGATGGGCTGGTCGTTTTGGGGATTAGATTTGGGCCTCAAAGGTTGGTTTTCGGCCCAATTTCGGAATTTTAACAAGGCTTCCCCTTTTCATTTATTATCTCTTTATCTTTTCTTGAATTTTGACCTACTAAAATTAATTAAAAATCCTAGACTAAAATCTAATTTGTGAAATTATATTTTTAACCTAAACATACATAATTAACTTAAAGCTAATGCAAGAAAGTTGCTATTTTGAGATTAAAATGCTAAAAATGTAAAAATGGCCAATATTTTTGATTTTTTGTCAACTAATGCAATTAATTAACAACTTAAACCTAAAAATGCAAATATCAACCTAAAAATGCAATGCATGAAACTTGATTATTTTTGGGGTATTTTCTATGATTTTAAAATGCTAAAATGCAAAATGCAAACAATTTAACAGATATTCCTAGAAATTCCATACAAATTAAAATAAATTAAAAAAATCTATTTTGTGATTTTGTAGGAATATTTTGGTCGGGCGAAAATCACGTGCTCACATATTGAAGGTGAAAGTGACTCACAACTGGACTATGCAAGAGTATTGGGAAGTTTGATGTATATCATGAATTATATGCGACCAGCTATAACATGTGCTATTAGCAAACTGAGTCGGTTTATAAGTAATCCCAATCAAATACATTGGATGGCAATGAAACGAGTTTTAGGGTATTTGAGAAATACTCAAGACTATGCTCTACATTATAATAAATATCCCTCCGTGATTGAGGGATATAGTGATGCAACGTGGATCAGCGGATCATCTTAAGTTAATTCCACTAGTGGATATGTTCTCACAAACTGGGGGTGGAGCAGTGTCTTGGAAATCATCCCAACAAATGTGCATCGCCCGTTCTACAATGGTATCTGAATTAATAGCTTTAGACAAGTCCAGTGAAGAAGTTGAATGGCTCCGAAATTTATTGGAAGATATTCCATTTTGGCCCAAACCTTTGGCACTTATATGTATACATTGTGGTAGTCAAGCATAGGTAGGCAGAGAACGTTATGTATAACGGAAAATCTTGTCACATACGACGGAGACACAATACCATTAGACAACTAATCTCTAGTGGTGTTATCACGATTAACTACGTGAAGTCAAGAGATAACGTGTCGAATCCACTTAGAAACGGCTGATCTAGAGAGGCAGTTGAAAGATCATCGAAGGGAATGGGGTTAAGGTCTGGGACAAGTCATCATGGCGGTAACTCTACCTAGTAGATTAGAGATCCTAAGAGTTTGGTTCAAAGCGATCAAACAGAGTTAGGAATGACGATTCAACATTGTTAAGTAACTCAACCCATTCTCGTGATGAAGACTATGTTCAGGAATCAAGGCAAAGCATTAAAGCTTTTTGATAAGTCAATAAAGCTTAAAGCCTTTTAATGATTTGCTAAGTCTGGCAGGAATGACCAGACAGTGTGCCTATGGGACTACACGTTTAAAACTTACCTATGTGGGTGTGAAGTGTAAGCCTCTTCAAGGGGAATAAAAGTAAAGGCCCATTCCCTAAGCACTCATGAACCAGGCGGTGTTAATGGCTGAAACGAACACAACCGTGAGAACCATAGATGGTTAAGGGTCGATTGTGTGACTTATGTTGTCTAGGTATACAACAAAGCTCGAAGGTTCAAAAATATCAAATCTACCGATTGGCCGAGTATATCCGATATAAATTAACTATGGAAAGTTCAAAGAGAAACCTACTTATCCAGATGCAATTAATCCTTGCATGTAAATCACATACTCGTCCGTGCATTCCTTTGTCTTATAGCCATTTCCTATTCATGTGGGGGTTGTTGGGATCGAAGGTCGGTGAATGGAAAATTGAGGGAAGAAATGTGAAGGGAAAGTGAGCTCCCTTATGCTTTGGATAGAGAAATTGTCCCTAGTAGTGAAAAGAAAAGGGAATATGCTTATATTGAGAAAGCACTTCCCTTGTTGTTAAATGGGTTGGAAAGAAGGTAATTAAGCCTCGCATCGTCGTTGTCGTCACTGGCTCTGCTTCGGCTTCGGATTTGGTCAAAGATTGATCGATTGATTAATGCTTAAATTGAGAAAGCACTTCCCTTGGTGTTAAATGAGTTGGAATGAAGGTAAGCCTCGCGCCGCCGTCATCGTCGCTCGCTCGGCTTCGGCTTCGGATTCAGTCAAAGATCGATTGATTGATTAATCTTTTTGGACAAAATTTCTTTCAATTATTCAATTAATTAATTTAATTAATTATCAAAAAGTCAACCCTAAATAACCCAGGACTCGCGTGATAATTATTTTAAATTCCTTTTCCGGAATATTTTGAACGTTCCCACCTATTCCAACAGCCATGGCTCCATGGCTGGTTCTAAAAGGTTGTAAACTTTTCAGATACAATGCCAGAAAATGGCTATAAATATAACTTGATCCCAGAATTTTTCCTTACAAATTATTCTGAACTTCTTCTCCTTCTTCTGCACAATTAATATTCCAGTGTGATTTACAACCCTTAAGTGGTTCGCTGTTCACGGGCGCTTTTAGTACCGATACTCTGGTGAGTTCAATCGTTCTATCCCGGGAGGATAATATTCTAACACCTCGGGTACTTGAGGGGAATAATTTTTTTAAGGACACACCGTGCATTTAGTGAGCTCGATTTTATTCCGAAATATATTTACTGGTTCTGGTTTCTGACAATCTCAAGTTTCTATCTTATTTTTTGTTTTTCTTGTTTCTGTTTTATGTTATAGAAATTTACTGTTTCGTAATATTATATTATACTAATACAGATTGTTAACAAAAAAGAAATAAAACAATCTCTGGGAAGACAATACGGAATCAGAGGTGCATTGAAGAAGTGATCTCATCTTTAGTCAGCCAATTAAGTATCAAATAGAGAAATTTGCTTTTATAATTACTTTTGATAGAAAGAATTCTTGCGAGCACAAATCACTCGGTGTAAATCTCAGGCAAATAAGTTACGATTATAAAACATATTAAATCGCGTTGAATGGTTGAAAGTTATCTAAGAATAATTAAACCAATATTCAAATTAAAGAAATTTCTTTCTCCCCTTAAATATATTATCTTTTTAGTGGCCCGACTAATCAGGAAACATTAACCTCGTTGTGAAATTTTAGTACTTCCCACCAAAGAAAACTCCATTCTAAAACCTTGAATGCATAATATGATTAAATGTTGAATAATTTTTACCATTTTACTACATCGATATGCCAAAATAAATATAACTGTTGATCTAACTTACTAATGTATAAACACATGGAAAAATTATATTTTGTGACTCGCACAATTAATATTAGTTATATATTATAATGTGCTATCAAGAAAGTGTTGGAGCTGAAGTTAGTAGTGTTAAGTAGTCAAGATGGGCCAGCCCATCTGTAATTATGATATTCTTATTTCGGCCCACTAAGTGAGAGGCCCAAGTGTAATATGTACATATGAGAGACCCAATGTATTAGCTGAACAGATTTTTGGAGTAATGAAATACCTCACATTTTTCTCTGAACTCTCTCTCTGCACCGACATATCCTAGGGTTCGTTCATCTTCTCATCACTGTTAATTTTCTCCAAATTCACTTGTTAACATGGTATCAGAGCAAGGGGATGAGCTAATCGCGTTGGATATGTTGCACATTGATGAATTTTGATTTACGATTTTGTCAGAGCTGTTCGCATTTCTGATTTCGGAGGAGATTCAACTTTTCCAGCGATCTTCTCAATTTTTCTGGCGATCTTCTGTTTCTGAGTCTTCGGTGAACTTTTGCGGATGATATCTGGTTTGATTTCTGTTAATGCTTTTGGTCTTTAGAGTTTTGAGGCAAATTTGGTACCTTTTCTCCTGATTTGAAACCCTAATTTTGATTCCTATCAAATTCTCCTGTAATTTCCTTTCTTATGAGTTCGACTGTCGAAGACATATCTAGTAGTTCTGGTGTAACTGATAATTCTACTGTAACGCCTTCCTCTCCACTATATCTGCTTCCTTCTGATTCACCTGGTACAATTTTGGTGACCACAACTTTTGACGGCACTGGGTATGGAAGTTGGCGTCAAGGAATGTTATTAGGACTCTCATGCAAGAATAAACTAGGCCTTATCAATGGGAAAGTTGCACGACCTAATTCCACCTCTCCTTTGCTCGAACCATGGATTAGGTGTAACGATATGGTTGTGGCTTGGATTCTGAATAGTTTGGATAGGGAAATTAGGGAGACTGTGATGTACACTGAAAGTGCTGAGAAACTTTGGAAGGAGATTGAGCGCAGATTTGGTCAAGCTAGTGGAATTAAGATTTTTCAGATTCGTAAGGAAATATCCCCGATTACCCAAGGTTCATCAAGCATTTCATCATATTTTAACAAAATTAAAAAGCTTTGGGATGAGCTTTCTTTCTCTGTATCATATCCTGATTGTGTTTGTGGATGCAAAGAGACCTACCAAAGGTTAGATGAAGAACGGAAGGTTCATCAATTTCTAATGGGTTTGAACGAATCATATTCTACTATTAGGAGAAACATACTATGATGAAACCTCTACCTGATGTGGATAGTGTGTATTCGATGCTTGTTAATGATGAGAGCCAGTCTAGTGTTCAATCCAATGTGTCATCTCTTAATTCTGATTCTACTGCTTTCTCTGCTGGTGTTCAGAAGCCATATTCTCAAAGAGTTAATTTTGACTCTCAAAGAGCTAGTTTCGACTCTTCCAGAAAGAACAATATTGTTTGTCGTTATTGCAAGAATCCTGGTCATCAGATTGACAAATGCTACAAGCTTCATGGCTATCCTCCTGGTTTTCAGACTAAGTTCAAACGGACTGCAGCATTTGCTCAAGTGTCTGATACACCACCTGTTGGACATCCTGAAAACTCTACTAGTGATACTAAGATAATTCAATCTGATGGTGGGAATTCTAGTATAACCAAGGAACAGTTTGATCAATTTTCGAGTCTTCTGCATTCTCGAGCTTCTGGGACATCACAAGAGATCTCTGTTGGTTCTGCTAATTTTGCAGGTCTGATAGATAATCCTGATTTCAAAACTTGTGGTATGCTTGCTTGCAATTTTTCTAGGGTAGAGGATAGCCCTTGGATCATAGATTCAGGGGCAACTCATCACATGACCCCACACTCTTCTTTTCTAACTGACATTAAACCTCTAGTCTTACCTTATCTTGTCACTATACCAAATGGTTATAAGGTAAAAGTGACTTGTACAGGTACTCTTACCTTGTCCTCTGAAATATCTCTAACTCGTGTTCTCTTAGTGCCTTCCTTTCAGTATAATCTCATTTCTCTTGCTCAACTAGTTTTACAGCTGAATTGTTTGCTTATTTCTCCTCTATTGCTTGTGTTTTGCACGGCCCTTCTCTGAAGAAGCCAGTGGCTCTTGGTAGTCTTTAGAATGGACTCTACATTCTCAATCCTGCAAACCTTGTTACTTCTGAGTCTACTTTTCATCCTTCATTTGTAAACACTAAGGGTGTTAAACGGGTGGGCAAGGCCGGGCTGGGTTGGGATATTTTGGACTCGTACGGGTTATGGTCCGGGCCGGTTACGGGTTGGGGATTATCGAGTTTGACGGGTTCGAATTCATCCGGGTAAAAATTAAACCGTACGGGTTACGGGTTGAGGGGGTCGGGCCGGGCCGGGCCGGGTTTAGTGTATTTTTTATTTTATTTTTTTGTACTTTGTATAACTATTGTAAGTTATATTAATATAAAGTATTGGCACTTACATTTGCACTACTGCCGCACCGGCTGCCCTTTATTCGTGTTTGTTTGGTATGATAAAAATTATTTTTATAAAAAAAATTATTTGATTGGTGAATGGCAAGTATGAGAAAAATATATATACTAAAAATAGATAGTAATATTAACGAAACAGAAGAGTATTTTAATGAATATTTTAGTACTACAGATTAATAAATATATATGAGTGATAATCTTAATGATTAATACATATAAAGTTAAAAAAGTTAGGAGAGCCGTAAGGAAAATTATTTCCGTTCATAAGTGAGAAAAGCATTTTTGTTCTTGAATTTTTTTTGTGGTAACCAAATACAAGAAAAAAGAATAGCATATATAAATCTTTTGTTCCCTAAATCTATTAACTATCATGTTCCCACCAAATTTTGAGGAGGAGAAAGGGCGTTAAAGGGCATCCAATTATCTACTTGAACATAAATATTTTTGTTGTTTGCTTCAATCTCCTATATACGTCAAGCCGTCAGATCTGGACCATATAAAAAAAAATTAAATTTTTTTTTTTACCATTATACCGGTCCGGGCCGGGCCGGTTAACCGATTCACGATCACTGTTCACTTAACGGGTTGGACCGGTCCGGGTAACCGGTATTTCAAACTTAAACAGAGCAAACCGCGCGATCCCCCTAACCCAGCCCAACCCAGCCCCCTTTAACCGGTCCGGGCCGGTTTCGGTTTTAACCGGTCTGGGCCGGTCCGGAACCGGGCTGACCCGGCCCGTTTAACACCCTTAGTAAATACCATTACTGCCTCCACTTTACATGATTTGAATAAGAGCAGTAGTTCTACTTCTGATCTTGCATCTTCTATATCTGTGAATGCTGATGTTTGTTCTACTATTCAATCTCATGTGTTGTCTTTTGACCATTCTTGGCATTTGAGGCTTGGACACATGCCTTTCAATAGAATGAAGTCCATTCCGTTCTTGTCTGATAAATTGCCAAAGAAACAAATATTCCTATGTCCTATTTGCCCCATGGCTAGACAACAAAGACTTCCATTTCCTGACAGTAAAATACACTCCACTTCTCCTTTTTAATTAATACACATAGATCTTTGGGGACCTTATCACACACAAACATATAATGGGTTTAAATATTTTATGACTATTGTGGATGATTTCTCTAGAGCTACCTGGTCACTTTTACTATCTTCAAAAAGCAGTGTTTTCACCTTGTTACAGTCCTTTGTGCTAATGATCAGAACTCAGTTTGATGCCTGGGTCAAAGTAGTAAGGTCTAATAATGCCTTTGAGCTGGGTTCTAGCTCAGCAGCTCAGTCCTTCTTCTCTGCTCATGGGATTCTACACCAAACTTCCTGTCCACATACACCACAACAAAATGGTGTTATGGAGAGGAAACATAAACACCTTCTTGAGACTGCTAGGGCACTTCTATTTCAGTCCAAACTCCGTGTTAAATATTGGGGTGAGTGTATCTTGATTGCCACTTACCTCATAAATATATTTCCCTCACCTTTGTTAAATAACAGAACTCCTTTTGAGCTGCTTTATGGTATTGCTCCTTCTGTCACCCACTTTAGGACATTTGATTGCCTCTGGTTTGTTGCAGTCCCCAAACCATATAGAGACAAATTCAAATTAAGATCCATTCCATCTATTTTTCTTGGTTACAGCTGGCAAGAAGAGTTATAAACTACTGTCATTATCCAATTCCAGTGTTTTCCACTCCAGGGATGTTGTTTTTCATGAAACTGTATTTCCTTACTCTTCTCCTGATTCTACTCATTTGTTTCCTCCTTCTGTTGTTACCACTTCTTCAGTCCCTTCTTCCTCTCCCACTCCTGTTAGTCATCCTAGCAATAGTGGTTCTCCTCCTATTTCTCCTCCTAGCTCTTCTGCTCCTTCTTCTTTACCTAGTAGTACCATTGGTCCTTCCTCTCCTTCCCATGTTCTTTCTCCTGTTTTGAGAGGGTCTCTAAGAACTCACAATCCTCCTTCCTACCTTGATGACTATGTTTGTTCCTCTGTCTCTAGTTCTAAGGTTCCTTCACCCTCTAATCTTTGCTTGCAAGAACCACAATTTTACTATCAAGCTGCCTCCAATCCTGCTTGGCAGGAGGCTATGATGAAAGAATTTCAAGCTTTGGAAGCCAACAATACTTGGGATATTCTTCCTTTACCTCCTGATAAAAAAGCCATACCTTGAAAATGGGTGTATAAGATAAAACAGAGGGCTGATGGTTCAGTTGAAAGATACAAAGCTAGGTTGGTATTTAGGGGTGATAATCAGCTAAAAGGGGTAGACTTCACTGAAACTTTCTCTACTGTAGTTAAATTGACAACTATTAAATGTCTCCTATCTGTAGTCATTAAAAGAAATTGGGTAGTGTACCAACTTGATGTCAACAATGCTTTCCTTCATGGTGATTTGGATGAAGAGGTATTCATGAAAATCCCTCAAGGCTTGACTGTTTCTACCCCTACTTCTGTTCCTGTTTCTTCATTAGCTTACAAATTAAATAAGTCCCTTTATGGCCTTAGACAAGCCTCAAGGCAATGGTATGCTAAGCTTTCTTCTGCTCTTCAATCTAAGGGTTTTCAGCCTAGCTTGAATGATTATTCCTTATTCAGAAAATTGAATGGACCTCATCTCACTGTGGTAGCAGTTTATGTGGATGACATACTGTTGGCTGGGGATGATGTGTCTGAGTTGAATGATTTGAAAGACTTCTTAGATGCTCGGTTTAAGATAAAGGATCTGTCGATGCCCCCTTTCTCTCGCGAAATCGGGTTTATGACATTTGGGCGGACAACTCATTTCCTTTTGGGAATTGGGTTTGCAGTTGAAGAGTCGCCACCTAATGATTAAGTGCATTAGGACACTAAAGAAATTTGATTTAGAAAAACCAGAGATTGGGTAAGGGCTTGAAATTATCTCGAGGGGAAGGTGTTAGGCACCCCTCAAGATCCACTAGTGTGGTTCCCGGCCATGCTACAATTGTGACTTTAAGTGAAAATGACAAGTGAACAAGCAGGAATTACAAATACGAGATAGTTTTCACATAACGGTTGCAAGCAACTAAAGCAAAAGAAGTTAAAGAAACTGAAAATTGGGAAGAAAGCAATTTTAAAGTTCTGAAAATAAACAAGTAAAAGGAAGGTTTTTACGTAATTGATGCAAGTAATTGAAGTAAAAGAAAAGTTAAAGAAGCTGAAAATTGAGCAGTTTATTTTTTTTTTTAAAAAAAAAAAATTCTGAAAGATTAAACAAGTAAAGGGAAGGGGGGTCCTAGGTTATAAATAATATGGATCACCCCACACAACACCCGGTAACCGCTTATACACGTGGTGTTATCGCGTGGTCATCATATCCATATCTACCCTTTCCCACCCCGTTAAGGCATTAAAGCGCGGAATAGTCTTGTTACTTATTGCATGCTGTTACCCGTCCCAATCATATCAGTCCCGGAGGCATTTGGGACTACTAGTCCTAAAAGGGGAGGGAGATTTGGGGCTTTTCAGAGTTTAAAAGGATAAAATTCTAATAAAGCAGATATGGGAAATACATAACAGTTAAAAAGGCTCAGACAGGCCTCCATAATAAAACCCTAGTCCACACACAAGATCAAACTCTCCAAAAACCCCAAACCCTAGGGTTTTCAACTCGAATCGGATGCAGAGACGAGAAGACAAATAACTGAAACAGGCTCAGAGGTCACTTTCAGAGACTCATGAGAAAACACATAGGTAAAATAGCAGGTTCGAAACAAATAGAGTGAAGAAACTGATTTAAAGCATAAAGAACATGTTTTAAGAAAAGCTTGGAACTTAAACAAGTTTAGAAGACAAAGAGGTAGTATAAACTAAAGGAAATAGTAGATGAAACATGCTTAGAAAGAACTCAAACAAAGTCCAGATGAAGGCAAATAAAGAACTAAGAGCTTAGTAGAAAATACAGTAAAGGAACATAGGGGTAAACGAACACATAAGATAAACGTGTGAAAGCATGATATAGAAACCAGTAGAAGAAAGAACGGAGCACAATAGAAGAATACGCATAATAAGGCAAACATAAGAACATAGGAGAAGGGCATGCGAGGTAGAAAAGAGAACATAAAAATATAGCATAGACAGATTCACACAAAGAAAAGAAAAAGAGGAGTCAGAAAACGTTTTAAAACTTTTTCAGAAACCCTTAATCGAAGAGAAACAAATTTTAAAAGAAAAGATTGGGGAAAACGTTTTAAAACTCCAGTAGAACACAGATATAGCATAGATCTAAGGAAACAAACAGAGAAAACCTCGAATAGCTTAGGGTTTCAGAGAAACCCTAGAAATGAGAAAGGCTTGGAAGAAAGTCCGATCGTGAGTCGGAAAGGTCTGAATAGGCTCCTGATGCTTGGATACGCCGGAGCGAGGACAGAGAGGCCTCAAAGCCATGGATCTGAGAAGATTTGAAAGAACACCATCGAGGTCAGACCTCGAAACTTCGACAACCCAGGGCTTAGAGGTGGAGGGGGGGTTAGTATAGGCCATCCATGGCCTGAGAAGCCATAGATTCCGGTGAAAGTGCGGTTGAAAAGGGCAGAAGATGACTAGGGTTCCGAGGAACCTTCGAGAGAGTTTTGGGAGAGGAGAGTGTTTGAAGGCGGCTGAGATATGGAAATGAGGGAATT